AAAGGAGAGGGGGACGTTTTGAAACAGCATCAGAACAAAAGTTCCACAGGCTTGCCTCTGGCAGAGCTCTGCCCACCCTCTCAAGCTTATGTCACTCAGTTTCTGAGGACACACAACTTGAGGAGGTAGAATATTTCTCCTTGAAAAGGGGTCTCTCTCTCTCAAGACAGCCTACCAACGCTCTCAGACTGTGAGAAGGATGTGAGCTACTAGGGTTGGATGAATATCAAAGATACTAGGGAAGTTCCTCTCTAGGGATGCCTGCTGTGGGATTTAAAATAAAATTTTCTGTCTCTTAAGAGACACTGGAGGATTAAAGCGGGGCAAGAATTGAACCTGGATAAGTAATCTGGTACAACCCGAAGCTCAGAGGCTCAGTTCTAGTCACAACTGCCATGAGCAGCCTGAGAGACTTTACAGGGACTGTCCTGTCAGTTGAGAAGGCAAAAAGTCTGAAATCTTGTGGTCCCCAAGGTTTCTCCCAAACTCATTGCCAGCTGAGTTCAGATGAAAATTCTGGGGCTCAGAGAGAAAGGAGCTCGCTGGAGGCCACAAGGCAACTCCCCATCTGTCCTTGTCCCCAGGGGGACGAGGTTTTCTTCTTGGAAGGACTATGGGAGATTCACTGAGGAACAGAGGGAGGTCAAATCTCAAGGCTGGTAGGATGGAGTTCTTGGCACCTGCTTTGACCCCACAAAGACTTAAGGCAAGTGTGAAGGCCAGGACCTGCCTGAAGCGCTGCAGGCTGGAGTCAGAGGCTGGGGGCCAGAAGGGAAAGGGCAGATAGTGCCTTCCAGAGAGGAGATTGGGGGAGAGGAAAGGACATGAGTCACCGGCTCTTCCCTACCAGAGGACCTGTATGTGAGGCCACGTCCACATTACACAGCATCTGTACCCCAGCAGGGCTGCACCACACACAGGATACAGTCCGCTGACAGGAATACGGAGCCCCCAGCCAGGGGCCCCAGGAAAGAGCAGCAGGCGATATCTCGCTGACCTAGCATCACCAAAAGGTGAGGGAGACAGCAGACTGGGCCAGAATCCCAGGGTCCCACAGACCTGATTCCCAGCCCCGCTGTTGGCTGCGGGGTTTTGGGCTCCACCTCCTGGGGCCTTCTGCCTCTCATCTAGTGTGATGGTGGTTGATGAAGTTTACACAATGAAAAGGCATGCAAAGTATGTGACATGCTCAGAACACAGGAAACACTCAAGAAATGGAGTGAGTGTTATTATTTCATGTATCTGAAATTTTCTGGGTAATAGAGGAGGCCTGTCAATTGGCTTCTTCTACTCAGTGTTCTCTCCCACTAGTTCCTAACCATGTTAGCAAAGCCTCACAGATTTCTTCAGTGTCTCAGGTGTGTATCATGTACAGTTGACCCTTAAACAACAATGGTTTGAACTGCACGGGGCCACTTACATGCCAACTTTTTTCAATATACATACAGCCCTCCATATCCTTCCTGGGTTTCACGTCCATAGATTCGACCAACCGTTGTTAGGAATCTGTGTGTGCAGAGGGTCGACTTAAATTATACGGTGTTTGACTATGCAGGGTTGGGGTTGGGGGTGGGGTCAATGCCCCTAACCGCCATTGTTCAAGGGTCAACTGTATTTCTTCCTTGTAATACTTGAAGTTTCCATTTTAATTATTTCGATAGGTCTCTTTTTTCAAAGGGGATACAGACTTCAGTGCCTATACAATATAGTACTTGGCAGTTCCTGGCCCAAACGCTCAGCCTTTGGTGGTTCTGTGCCTCTGGCGGTCCTTGCAACTCTCCATTGAGCTGTCAGTTGTTATTTCACTCTGCTGTCGAGTTCTCTGCCTCTACTATGTTGCCTTAGTGCGCGGCTTCTAATCTGCTTTGGTCTGAAAATCAGATTTCCAGGCTGGTTAGAATGGCGTGTAAAGCAGGCAGGAAGAAGTCCAGGGAAGGAATCTGGGGCAGGGTTTATCTGGACCACTAATAGCAGAATTACTCGGAGTGTCTGCTTACATGCAGAGTCCCAGGCCTCCTGAATCAGAATCTCAGGGGAAGGCTCTGGAACCTGCAGTTTAAACGAGCTCTTCGCACAGTAGCATTGGAGAACCACGAGTAGGGGATGAGGACAGCTACTTCTGTTTTGAGGCCTTTTTTGGGCTTTTTTCTAGTTCCTTTGGTAAAGAGACCTGTTACCCTGTCTTGTTTCTTCTCCCGTTACGTTTTTCTGCATTCTGTACCCTGTGTGGTTCCTCACCCCAGATTCATTTCTAAGTCTGGGAGGCCAACTGGTGCTGCCCTAGATGTATCGGGGCCTGTGTGTATCCCCGAACACAACCACAAGGCTGAGAAAAGTCTCCAGAGCTGTCCAGCCTGGGGCAACAACCCTGTTCACAAGGGAAGGAAGCCAGGGCAGCATGGTCAGGAGGTCCTTCTTCCTGCTTTTGGCAACGTGGCACTTCTGCCAACAGAAAAAACTTCCTAGAAGAGGTTCTTAGGACCCAGATAAGGCAGAACAACCACAGCAGTCAGAGGAGAGCAGCCCTCCAGCCCAAGTGGGCACAATGGGCTCTGCCTCCTGACTCCTACATACCCCACAAGGCCCAAGACTACTTTCTCTTTAAAGACTATTCTGTCCACTCTGGCCCTCTGTGGTTATTCCCTTCTCTAATTTCTGGTAGAAAATGAAGAGGTTGGACCAGATCTCCAAGAACCCCTCTGCCCTAAGGCTCTTGTCTTACTGGACTACCCACATCTCCACCCGCACTGGGGTGACCCAAGGCATGTCACACACATATCTTGGCCTTAGTGGCCTCATTTCCCAACATGAATAAGTACCTTCTATGATTTGATTTAGGGAGCGAGATCGGGTAATCCCCGTCAGGCCCTGTCCTTTGTTGATCTCACTAAATCAGTCATTCAACTCTCATTGACTGAATAATGTGCCAGAAGAATTTCTCAGCCTAGTAAGCCGAAACTGGTCAGCAAATAATTATGGTGTCACAAACACAGGAAGAAGAGCAATACTCAGAGGTGTGTATGTGCAGATGCGTGTGTCTGTAGGGGCTGGGAAGAAAGGTGAGGCCACATCATCTCTATTTAATAGGTGAGGAAACAGGCTCAAGAGACAGAACTATCCCTAGTTCTCACAGCTAAATGGCAGGGCTGGAATTTAAACCCAGGTCCTCTTGGGCCCAAGCCTAGTGCTTTTCTCTCTACCAAGAAAAGGTTATTCACGTCTCTACACCTGGGGCTGAGCTTGTGATCAGCACGCATACATCTGCTATATCTAACCAAACCACACACTCCCCAAGGGCCAGGCTCTGCCCTCCCACCCAGGGATGGAGGGGTGGGGGGTGGGCAGGTCTGAGGGACAAGCAGGAAGGATAGATGGGAGGACTGGATGATGAGGGAGGAGGAGGATTGGGTTCGACTCCTAGATTCTGGCTTGGACAAGTGGGTGGAAGGAGGTGCTGGTTAGAGAGAGGAGGGAGGCAGGGGGAAAAACCAGTGGGGGGACTGGGGCTCGAGGGCATGAGTTTCAGGCCCAGCTCTGAAATGACCCGGCATTCTAACTTGTCAACCGCCTCTTCTTTCACCAAAGCATTCTCTGGGCCCTCTTCTCCCAGGTCATCTTTGCAAGAAGAAAGAGGGCAGAAGTGATTGCTGGCCTTACAGAAGGATACTGAGGACTACAGATGACTATAATGAGGGTTCCCGGCCTGGGGATGAGAGTGGCCTTCGTTTGTTTATTGCCTGCTGGTCAGCAAGTCCTTTCATATACACCTGTCTTTTGATTGTCCAACCACCCTGGGAGACTGTCTCCCATTTTATATTCGAAGGATATTGATGCTTAGAAAGGAGCAAAGATTTGTCTGAGGGAAGGGAAGGTGGACAAAGAAAAGAAAATGGATTTTTATCAAGGACCTGTTCCGTGCCAGGAATCAACCAGTGTACTTCCACATATATTAACAGAGCTGTTCTCTCAAAAATCTCTACATGCAGCATCAATAGCTGCATTTTACACATGAGGAAACGGCCTCCACTAAGTAATTCGGGAACTCGGCTGGTGGGGGAGAGATTCAGATGTAACATACAGCTGCCCAGCCCTGGAGCCCTGAGTTCATTCATTCAATCCACGCCTTTAGCCAACAACCATCTCTCCAGCATCTATTGCTATGCTGCACATTTAGGAGTAGAGATGGACACAACACGCATGCTCCTGCCATGCTAGAGTGTCAATGTGCCGAGTGTTGTCAGAAACACACAAGGGGCCGTGGGAAGGTGTCACAGGGGGTCCTGCCACACTTCTCTGGAGAAGTGACATGAGCTAAGAGCTGATGGATGATGACCAGGAGTTAGCAGGTGTGGAAGAGTGCTCTAGGCACATGGAACAGCAGGTGCAAGGAGCTAAGCTGCTAATGAGTCTGCGATGCTCCAGGTGGCTGGATAAACAGCCTGGGACCAAAGAGTGCAGAGCCATGTCTAAGGTTTTTGAAATTCAAGTCACCAAGGGGTCTAAACAAGTGTTAGGCACCATCAGAGTGGTTTTTAAAAACAGTGGAGGATGGCGTGGAGTGAAAGCACAGCCGAGATACGAGGCCCTCCTAGCCAGGCAAGAGGGCTAGGTTGAGAGTGGCAGCAGCGGGCCGCGGAGGCAGTGGATGGTTGTGCAAGCACTTGAGGAGGTAAGTCAACAGGGGCGGGGGAAGAAGTGGCAGTAACTGTCAGGTCCCCCTCTGGCCTACAGTACCCCTGCACCCCCAGCAGGTTAGGGCGTGGCACTAAGATTGCGGTATCATTCTGAGCCTTATGCTGTTAAGCAACAGGCTCCTAAACCTTGGTTAGAATTGAGAGGCTTTCCTTTGATGTTTGTTCAGAATGCCATGAGGTCTGAGTGCCACAGCTGGGCTTCCCCACTTAGCAGGAGGCACCACTGAACAAGCCAGCAGTTTCCTAGTATGTTGTACTGTCTGCTCTCTAGGCCTGACTGAAACTCCTTGCTCCGACCCACGGGACTGTGAAGAGACACCTTTTATTAAACTCACAGCCAGACTCTCCAAGACGGTGAATCATAAACTTGTCTTCACCATCTGTGGCTGCCTCACTACAGCCCTGGCAACAGGACATGACTGAGAATGGGACTGCTGCTGTGGAAACCAGGCTGGGGACACAGATGCCGCACATGGCACTTTATTCCTGCTTCCGATATGTACAGGTATATACAGTAGGTGTGAGCCTATGGTACATTATTTCACAAAATTATCTTACATCCTGTGCATTCTTTTGGGCGGGAAGCGCAGATTCTGCTCTGAATAGCCCACGGATGGTGTAGGAAAAGGACGCTCAGGGAGCTGCCGCCCCTCTCCGAGGACATTCACGGGGGCTGCCTACCCACTTCCCCAGTACTGAAGCCTTCCCACGGGCCATCTGGGACTCCCACAGGCTCTGGGTGCTAGCTGCTTCCCAAATCTTCCTCCTCGGGTGGAAGAGCACTGGTGGGGAAGAAGCAGCAGTGGGGGCCCCCACTCGCCGACGGTGGTAAACTGATGTCTGCCACCCAGAGCCTGACTGCTGCTCCTGAGTATCCACAGCAAGATGGGAACCCTCCCTGTCCCCTGGCCTCACGGGGCGCTGGCATGCATCTTCTCCAGGCAGCTCGTCCAGAACGTGACCAGCCGGTTGTCGCGGTTGATGCAAAAATCCGTGAAGTCCTTCAGCAGCCGATCAGCAAACTTCTCGTCCCCTGTGGCGCTTGAGCGCCACGTCTTGGTCAGCATGGTGTTGTAGGCCCAGTTGTAGCCGACCCGCTCCTCGCAAAACATGTTTTGGTTGGTGGAGCTGGTGGAGTTGCGCCGTCGCCGCTGCTGCCCTGAGAACTTGCGCTTGGAGTAGGGCAGCTGCAGGAATACTGTTCCTGAGGGGGAAGGGGAGGACCTGTGCCACAGCCACCAGGAGGGCACCTGTGGTCGGCTAGGGTGGTTCTACGGCCACAGGCTTGGTGTGAGGGCAGAACCCCTGTGCTCGCGGCCAGGCCCCTCCCATGGCTCACACTCCTGCCACAGGGGCCCACCTGCCCACGTTTTGCCCAGAGCGTCTCACCTGTAACGTGGATGTACTGAGGCTTGTTCTCAGCCGGAAAGTTAAAAGCAGACGCAGAATATTTATCTTGTACAAATCCAAACCTGAGGGAAGTACAGGAAGACACACTGATTAGGGCCGACTTAACTAAAGGGACAACGGGAGAGTGTGTGGCTGATAGGACAGCTTGGGCTAAAGGGATCTGGAAAGATGTCTTTCGAGATGGAACATTCAGGCTGCTTATTTTTGTCCTATTTCTCAACCTCTACTCCTTCAACGGCTCACCAGATCTTTTCCCACCCAGCCTCCTTTCATCTCCGTGGTGGCTGAAAGCCCTCTCACAGGCTATGCTCTTCCTCATCCAGCCTTCATCTCTCCCCAGCCACCCTCTCCCTCCTGTGCACCCCCAGCTGTCCCGTCAGACCTCCCACGCTGTGCTCACCCATGTGCTTGAGGCTGTCAGGTCCTGCAGAAAATGGTCCTTATCTTTATTTACTTTAGCCACACCTCTCTCCCTTTCCTCATGTCTCCCACACTAAGCACATAGTAGTTTCTCAATAAAGACTTTGAAGTGAAATAAAGTACCTTAATTGAAATTCTTTTCTTAAAACCAAGAAACACCACTCTGGGAACGGGCAGGAGGGGCAAATTTTTATCTATGGCTGTTCTAGTCCACTTCTCTCCTACGGTTTATTCTATTCCTGGTTTTTCTATTTCCACAAAGCACATTTGTTATGGCTCTACCTGATGAGTGTTGTAAAAAACGCGTTAATAGCTATGGCTCCTGCCCTGAGTCTGAGGGCTTTATGGAGTGAAGGCAGGGCTGTTGGCAGAGCTAAAGGAGGTAAAACGCCTGTCTCTTTTCCTGGACTGAGTTCCTTGGGGAGGTGCTGTGCTGCATGCAGCCTCTGTATAAGCTGCCCGCTTTCTCCTGGCATCTGATGATTACTGACTGAAGAACACATGAAATTAGATATGCAAATGCAACGGACAGGCTAACCTGCACTGCAAGCCCCATCACCCCACCACCTGCAGGCTGATTCTATCATGGGCAGGAATGGCCTTGGGTTTAGACTTTCTTCTGCTCTACTTTCAATCAAGGCTATGTATGTACTCAGTGTGGATCAGCCTGACCAGATTCTTGCCTTATCTCTTCCTTAGGTCACCAGGAAGGACCTTTAGTTTAAAAAAGGCAATTTGACCACATGGTCCTCGGCCACCTCACTGTCCACCTGGGGAACATGCCAGGCAGGATCACCGTAAGGGTTCCAGTTCCTAGGAGGGTCTGTTCTAACTTCATGCCAACTGCCCGGATGGAGGAGGAGCTGGGGAGCCAGACACTTTTCTAGCTTTTTCTGAACTGGGCTAATGTTTCATTTCAGAGCTACATGCCCACCTAGAGTTCCACTCTATGCAGAAAGCTACATGTTGAACATTTTTGCTCAAGGCCCTTTGCTAGGCCTTGTGGAAGGATATAAAAATGAGAAAAATGCATGCCCTTGCCCTCCAGGGGCTCCCAAGTTAGTGTGATGGATGGACAGAGGGTACTGGGCCAAAGGGAAGGAGGGAGTCAGAGTGGAAGGACCAGGGATCCCTGGTGGAACAAGGCTGACAGGTGTAGAGGGGGGGTGGGGGCCTAGGAGGGGAGGTAGGGGAAGGGATCTAGGTGAGGAAGGGGAGCAGGTTTAGGTGAAGTGACACACAGCAGAGCCCCAAGTAGTGATACAAGGGGACAGGGCAAGAGACATACGAGGAAATCGAAGGCTGGAAAAAAAGGCTGAAGAGGAAAGGGCAATAGTTTAAAGAAGTCATGACTGGAACCTAGAGGAGGATGCTGTGAAGAACAAAGCAGGTTTGACAAAGGCCATGTCCTGAGCGATATCCTGCGACTGCCCGATGGCAGTATGAGGTAGGCAGCGCCAGACCTGATTATCAACTTGTCAGTTGGCTGGGGTCTTCCTAATGGGAATACTGTCTACTGAGGGCTTACTAGGTGCCAGAAACATCAGAGGACCCTCCCAACAACCCTCTGTGGGGTGAGAAGTCGAAGGCGAAGCAGATCCAGGACTTGCTCAAGGTTCCTTAGCCAGATGCTGGTAGAGGCGTAGGTGAACCAAGCCTGTCCGCTTCCCACATCAATGCCCTTTCCACCGATCACTGCACTCCCTACCTTCTGCCCCAAATTGGCATCCCCTTCCCCTGGAAGGAGGAAACTAGATGCCCTGGTATTCACTCCACAGCCCTGACTGAGCATCAGAGCTAGGCCTGTGAAGAAAACGACAGGATAAAGTCTAAGGCAGGCTGGGGCCAGCTTGGGTGAGGAGAGGCTGCAGACCTGGACTTCATCCTGTGCGGGGTGCAGCGGGTAGGGGTGTGTGTGTGTATGTGTGTGTGTGTGTGTGTGTGTGTGTGTGTGTGTGCCCGCGCGCGCGCATGCGCGCGTGCACGTGCAAAGTGGGGATGGTAACAGGTGAAGATACTTGAATGACGAGATGATATGACACTGAAGAAGGTGTGGCAAGAGGATTACTGAAGAGGAAACAGGAGGCTTCACTTACACCATGATTAACAAGCAGCAGCAATCAGACACTGAGTTAGCGATGTTCTGGAGACAAAGCTGTACTGGCCTGAGGGGTGGACAGCTAAGCCCAAGGAAGGCTTTCCTTGGAACACATATTAGGTGCCAGTAAATTACCACTGACTTATCTATTGCTTTTTAGCCACGGATTGTCTTGTTAACACGTGTCAAGGGGCTCTTGACAAATTTCACCATTTTTCATCTCATATCATTGTCTGGATAGCTTGGCTTAGGGTTTTATTGGAGGCTAAGAAGGGAGCTCTCTGCTCTCTCCCCTCAATGGGAACAAGAAGGCAATGAGTTCTGAAAAACAAGAACCACAGGAACGGAAGAGGTAGTGCTTACCTTTGAAACCAAGGCCAGGGTCCTATTAGAGGTAAGCAGCAAATTTGTCATTGGTAGACTACATCAATGTTTTCCCAGAAATGAAACAAACTGGGTTTGGCTTTGGTAACTTGCTATTCGAGACAAACAAGGATGCCTTCCCACTATTCTCTCTTGCTAAGGGACAAACCTGTGTGCTATGGCTTCCTGGAAAAGGTGCATTCGATCCCAGTATGTCTCCGGTTCAAAGCCTGAAAGGAAAAGAATAAATGCTGAGTCCTGACCCCAAGGTTTGTAATTCTCCCTGGGTCTGGCCTTCTCACTACTCTTGGAAGCTCTTCCACCTGGAGCCTCAGCTCTACTTTTCCACACTACCTACTTTCAGGAAGACCAGCCTCCATCCCAAGGTGGAACGTCCTAAAGAAAGTGATAGCCATGTGTTCTCAGCCTCCCTTCCCCCCAAGCCCTACAGGGTCTAGAAAAAGGATGAATATGAGGCCTCAGCAACCAGTATGAGCTATCAGAACTCAATATATGACTCATTTCAATGACTTCCTATGCCATGATATTAATGTGAAAACAGAAGATAGGCTTTAAATGAATGTTACTTGCGTCTAAGGAACAACAACAAAAAAAGATTTTTATTTTTATGACCAATCTTCCATTTTCCTACAAGGAAAGGCAATATAATAAGCTCCATTTTAGGGGTGGTAAAATTGAAGCAAATAAATATAAAAATGATTTGGGGAAAAATGATCAGCTTGGGAGAGGAGCGAGGCAGACCACGGCCCTCCCCCATCGCCCACGTCATTGGTTCAGCCTTGCTCCTTCTTCAGGGCTGGTGTGAGGACCAAGAGTGAGGGTTGGGCAGCCTGTCACACAGCAACCGGCAATGGCTGGGGCTGCACTGAGGACTGAGGTGCTGTGGGCTGAAGCAGCAATAGCACAAGACATCCCCAAGACCAGGGGTGCCTGCAGTGGCCTTGTTACTCTTTCCACATTTGAAATCCTCTGTCTAGGATAGCTTTGAGGATTCTGGGCAACTAAAGAGCAAGAAAGTAGAAAGGCTGGCTTTAATGGGAAAATACACATACACGGAAGATTCTTGGCAGATGTTTAACGTTTTGAATTCACTGTTATCAGAAGGGGCGATAACAGGAAGAGAAGCGGCACAGAAGCAAGAAAATCAATTTTTAGATTCAAGTCCTGATTCCTTGAAGCTAGGACTTTGGTTCAGTTGTAACCATGGCAACCAACAGAGGATGTTGGCTTTGAAAACTGGGTTACCACTGGCAGGGAAAACCATCAGCTCACATAAAAATGTCCTCTAATGCCAGCCCTGTGAGCAATCCTATGCTGTCACTGTGAAGGTGAGTCTTTGGATTGTGTGGGGGACGATCATTCTGTCCCCTCAAAATATTAAAAACAGTAGCATGAGGCGGTGCCTGGCTGACAATCATCAAATATGAACATAATCATCTGGCATTTCAGAGCTGCAAAAATGGTCCTGTCTCAGCCACACTGTGTGGGCACACGAGAGAGAGAGGAGGGGGAGGGGAGGGGAGGGGAGAGAGAGAGAGAGAGAGAGAGAGAGAGAGACAGAGAGACAGAGAGACAGAGAGACAGAGACAGAGAAGAGCACTTTGTAAACTCTAAGGATCACTGGGGGGCTTCCCTGGAACTCCAACTATCACTTAAAACATTGCTTCTACACAAAAACGTTTTCTAAGAGGTAAACAAAGATTATACAGATGGGCCTTTGGAACAAAAACTGTTTGTACCCTGGGGACAGCCTGTCTCAGGCAAAGCACAGAAACACTTTGCTTGGCCTCTCCGACCTGGTGAGACCTCTTACCCTCTGGGCCGGTCCTCTGCCCAACCATGACACAGACTCACAAGGGCACAGAAGAAAGCATCTCCCTTACATCCAAAGTTTTTCCTTTCACACTGAGAATGTCTGTATCTGAGAAACTATAGGGGCTCCTAATGTATTAGCAGCAACTCTACCTTTCCATTTAAAAAAAATTCACCAGTGAATGCATCAAAAGTGCTGGAGGATCTCTTTATATGTTCACGACAATGAGCACTTGGTGATAAAAAATTCCATGCTGCGTGAAGTGAGATCCATCCATGTATTGTCCTACACTGGCCCTCAGAGTTCTGGTGGTCGGCCCCCTGGGCTCTCCCATTCAGACTGACAACCATGTTCTAAGGGGAGGGCTCTGTCTGTGTCCTGCCATCCTCCCATGAGTCTCCTCCTGCTCTGTATTCCTTGAGATGCAGGATTCAAGCCATGTGCACTGTTCCAGGTGCTGACACACCATCGCTTTGCATAATAGGACACTGTTTCCTGTTTTGCTTTCATTGCCTCCTTTTCTCAGCCTTTTTGCATGGAATGGCAGATTCAAGCCTCCTGTGAGGTTCAAATTCCCGCAGCCCAAACCAGTCAGGTTGGAGCACAGAAAGGAAGGACAGTGTGGGGAGAATGCCAGGTCCGCTTGTGAATTACAGAACATCATACCTTCTTCCCAACCACCATTCTGCTCCAGGCCTGGCAAGGGTATTCCTGAGTTGCAAAGGAGCTCTAACCACCCCCATTTGAGAAATAAGGAATTTAAGAAACAGAGACATTAAGTGACTTGTCCAGGGTTTCCCAGCCACTAAGTGAGGCACGAGGATTAAAACCCCAGATCCTTTTGGCCTGTATGCATTAGCCTGTGTGGATTAGATAACCTAGAGAGGTGTCCTTGGGGAAAGGGGGTTTTCCTCATGGAGACAGAACCCCCAGAGAGGAGCCTCTCTTACTGTCAAACAGGTGCTCACTGCCCTCCTTGAGCAGACAGCTGACGCTGAGCGGGATGAAGAGCTGGGCTCGGAGCGGATCGCCATACAGGTAACTGGGCAGAGCAAAGGGGCCTTCCAGAACCGGGACCAACAAAAAGCCACAAGAGGTGGCTTTTCGATGCCAACCTTGGACCTGGTGGAAAGCACAGAAACAAACAGTGTCATCTCCAAGTTTGTTCAGACAAGAGAAATTACTGCCCATGGGGTGAAGCTGGGTGGCATCATGCACATTGATTGGCATGTTCATTTATTGATGCTCGCTGGCTCCAATCCTAACGAATACTCGAAAAATAGTGAGTTAAGTACACAGTTCCTCTTTATAGCCCAAGCTCCTGCAACTGCAGTGTGTTTTTTGGGAGGAAGAGAGAGCTATTTCTTGCTTCCTAAAAACGCTTCTCATTCTATTGACTGTTGGAGGAAAGTCACAGGACATAGGTTAAGTCCTTCTAATTTTGTCCTTTATCAAAAATTTACTAAGTCCAAAGTATCGAATAGAAAACTAAGCCACTCAGGATGGCCGAGTGGGACATGATGCAGGGTGCAAGATGACTGTGGTGGCCTCTGTCCAAAAGCGATAAGCCCTAACCTGGCAGAATGAGAGCCACTCTCTGGCAAACTCCCAAAAGCTGTCTGCCTAAGGCTGCCTGAGAAGGAAAGTTACTGGGGCGTAAAGACACACCTTCCCATTTGTAACATTTTCTTAGGGAACAGTGGCTGTTTCCTAGGTCTTAAGATACTTTGCTAACCATAAAACTGATGTATGTTTTTTTGTTTGTTTGTTTTAAAAAAAGCTGATGCATGTGACTCTGGCATACAGATAAGATTTGTGTCAAATACTATTTCAGAAAACTACAGTTTGGGCCATGTCAAGGGACTTAAATACGATTATGTTAAAAACTGAAGGGGTCCACTTAGTTTTTTCAGAAACACTGATAACAACAGTACAACAGCACAAAAGCCAAGCTCTCTGTTTAACCAAAATAATCTCTAAGGCTTAGCCAATGACCTTTTTATTTTATGTAAATATTTATCCTAATAAAATCTGATTTATAACAATTTTGGACATTGCCTTAAAATAATAATTGACATGCACTAGAGATTTATAAAAGCTTAACAAAATAATGATAAAAGGATTAGTAGCTTTCAGTAGATTTTACATAAATTGATGTGAAAAGTGTATTTTTAAAAGATAGTTGCTAGGGCTGGCTGAAAGGCGCATTGGTTAAGAGCTGGCTTGGGATACCAGCTCTGAGCAGCAGGGTCCCAGTTAGGATCCCACATTAGGGCCAGTGACACTGTGCCCTCTACAGCTAAGATGGTGAACAACAGCTCGACCTGGAGCTGGCCTGCCATGAGTCGCCAGCGACGGCGTAGGCTGCAGTGGGCTGCTGCAAAAGTTACCGTGAGTGGCTGGCAGCCAGTGTGAGCGGCCAGCAGCCAGCGTGAGCTGCCAAGAGCCGGGTGAGCGGCCGTCCTGTGGCTGGCGACTGATCTGCCTCACCCGGGAAGAGCGCAATGATAATACCAATATGAGCCAGTGAAGCGACGTCCTCCACAACTAGGCTGAAGAACAAAAGGACAGCAACTTGTCTGTTCCCCTTCTCCGATTCCCCAACGCTGTTCCCCTCCCCCAATTCCCCAATAAAATCTTAAAAAAAAAAAAAGAAAAAAGATAGTTGCTAAATTCCTCTGAGGAAATACTCTTTTTCTGGTCCTACGGTAACTATATGTGTATATTAATGTTATGGTTGTGTTGTTTTGAGATAGGATTATCTGGTAGGGCTCCCAAGGAGGTGGCTTAGCCTACTGGGGAAGAGGGTTACTTCTGCCTGGAGGGAGTGGTCATCCCGGTATAAACCAGCTGGGGAAGAGCTGGTGTCCTCTGCAAGCTGAGCAGGACGGGGAGCTGGGAATCTTTTTAAATTTGGACCTTAATAACATTCCCCTGATGAGACTCTCTCCAGGGGAGGGGTCCTCAAAGGTGCTAATGCCATGTGGAGGCGGACGGGGGCTGGGCAGAGACCTGGACAAATCTCTTCTCCCCGATACCATGGCTAGTGGGACAAAACTGGGCCTATGAGTCTTGGACAAAGAAACTCCATGTTGCCAGCTGATGCTGTGCTCATTTCTCTGTGGTCACCTCCTTAGCATTTCATAAATTCTTTTCGAACTTTCTGGCTACTTTCAGCTGTGTGATGAGATGTTCGGGGCCAGTGTTGGAGGGGAATGGGACTCAGATGAAGCCACAGAAAACTACTCTTTTTTTTTTTTAAAGTTGCAGAAAAGGACAGTTTATTAGAAGAAGAAAAAAAAAAAACATTTCAAAGAAGCAGAAGCGGGCCTGAGCAGTAGAGAATGGCTCAAGGGCCATTATCAGAAAAGAAAGTACACTCCAAAGAGTTTGGAGCAGGCCGAGCAAAAGAAGCTCAAAAGGCCAAAAACTTTTTGAAGGACATTGTATATAAATAGTAGCAGACTGTAAAGATGGTTAAAGAGGGCTCCTGACAGCTTGGCAAAGAAGCTATAGACACTGAGACTGGGGATGGGGGGGTTGGCCAGGGGTGGCTTCTTAGTGCAGGAGCAATGAATGACCTAATTAGAGAGGAAAGACAGACAGAAGACCAATTAAAACAGGGCTTCTCAATTTCGGCACTCGTAGCATTTTAATTCTCTGTTGTAGAGGCTGCCCTATTCTATGCATTGTAGACTACAGAGCAACATCCCTAGTCTCTAACCACTAGATGCCAGGAGCGATCCCCCACCATTTGTGACAAATAAAAATGTTTCCAGATATTGCCAAATGCCCCATAGGGGCAAAATCACACCCCACACCCCTCCCGATGAGAACCAGAGTTAAAAGCAGTGATGTTCATTAACCAGGGATTGGTCAAGGAAACTGTGATACAAACAAGTAACAGAATTTTCTGCAGCCCTTAAAAAACAATGAGGCAAAACAAACAAACAAACAAACAAACAAACAAACAAAACAATGAGGCCAACTTATTTATACTGGTATGGAAAATGTACAGGTAATAGGAAAAAAACAATGTAAATAGTTTATATCCCATGCAAACCGAATTTGTTTAAAAAAAAAAAGGTAACATGACTTTATACACACCTAGGATCTCTCTGGAAACACTCAACAAAGTGGTAGGGTGGCTGCTTTTAGGGTGAGGGTGGGAGAGAGATTTCCTTTTTATTCGGTAATTCTCAACTGGGGGCCCTATTCCCCCTTCCCTGGGGACACGTGGCAATATCTGGAGACATTTTTGGTTGTCACAAGGAGGGTGTACTACTGGCATTTAGTGGGCAGAGGCCAGGTCCTATAATGCACAGGACAACCCCCCACAACAGAGAATTACCTGGTCCCAGATGTCAGTAGTGCTAAGGTTGAGAACTGATCTACATCTTTTTTTTTTTTTTCCTTAAGATTTTATTGGGGAATTGGGGGAGGGCAACAGCATTGGTGAATCGGGGAAGGGGAACAGACAAGTTGCTGTCCTTTTGTTCTTCAGTCTAGTTGTGGAAGACGTCGCTTCACTGGCCTATGTTGGTATTATCATTGCGCTCTTCCCGGGTGAGGCAGTCACTCACTGGCTATTGGACGGCTGTTCACAGCGGCTCACGAAAGCTCATGCCGGCTGCCAGCCACTTACGGTAGCTTATGGCAGCCCACTGCAGCCTATGCCGTCGCTGGTGACTCACGGCAGCCCAGCTCCAGGTCGAGCTGTTGTTCACCATCTTAGCTAGATGGTGCAGCATCACTGGCCCACATGTGGGATCCGAACCGGGGCCCTGCTGCTCAGAGCTGGCATCCCAAGCCAACTCTTAACCAACACACCACTCGGCCAGCCCTACACCCTTTTTGACTGTTTAAAATTTTTCCTATGTTTAAATTATTTTTTTTGGTTATTTTTATTTATTTATTTATTTATTTATTTTTAAAGAGGCTATTTTAATAATCCAAATGAAAGGTATTAGGAGCCTGAACTAAAAAAAAAAAAGAAAAAAAAATGTGTGACATAAATCTCTTAAGCAGCTACTGTGCCCCTCTGCAAGGTGAGCCAAGGCCAGGTCCACAGCGAGAGGAGGTTCTCACCATCTCGAAGAGGACCGCAGCGGTCACCGCCATCCAGTGGAGCTTGATCTCGAAGGCCGCATTCAAGGAGAAGTTGCCATGGTAATAACAGCTGCACCACTCCAGTCGGTCTGTGCGGTTGTTCACGTCCACGTCCAGGGTCACAGTCCTTTGTTCTGGGACTGTAGCAGCTATGTGAGCACATAGGAGGGGTCCCAAGAGAGGGGGGAAAAAGCGTGGGATGAGGAGGAAGAACAAATTACTAAGTGTCCAGATATTAAAATGCAGAATCACCTAATAGAAAATCGCAGATTCTAGGAGCTTCCTGGAAATCATCTACTCCAGGAGTCAGCAAACTTTTTCTGTAAAGGTCCAGGTGATAAATATTTTAGGTTTTGCAGGCTATATGGCCTCTTTTTCAACTGTTCAACTGCCATGAGAGTGCAAAAGCAGCCACAGACATTACGTTGTAAATGGATGGGCTCGGCTTTACATGTTCCAGTAAAACTTTATTAACAAAAACAGGTGGATTTCTGGGGCAGTGAAACTACTCCATGTGATACTACAATGGTGGTCACATTGTCATTATACTTTCGTCAAAAGACATAAAATGTACACCACCAAGAGTGAAGCCTAATGCAAGCCATGGACTCTGGGTGATTATGACGAGTCACTGTAGGTTCATCAGTTGTAATAATGTCCCACTCTAGCGCAAGATGTTGATAGTAGAGAGGAATGGAAATGGAAACTGTGCTTTCTGTTCAATTTTGCTCTGAACCTAAAAGTGCTTTAGAAATCAAGTTTATTATAAAACCAACCAACCAACCAACCAACCAACCAACCAACCAACCAACCAACCAACCAACCAAACCAACCAACCAACCAACCAAGATAAATGGTAGGCCAGATTTGGCCTGTTAAAACAGTGTGCCTCCCCCTAACCTAGCCCAATGCCTTCATTTACGGATGAGGAAATAAATGGTAGACAGAGGAGGGGAAATGCCTTGGCCAAGATCAGAGTCAGAACCTCAGCTGAGCTGAACTCCTGATCTTCTGAGTCCAGTGACCCACAAAGGGACACAACTGGACGAGCAACCCAGACCACAGTGAGGAGGGGTCCTGCTTTTCTGGTTTCAATCCAGGCAGGTAATAGTTCTATAATCTTTCCTGAAGAAATAAAACCTAATAATGAAGCTTAATGCCCAGTTCCATCAACTGCGTGTTGCTTGAAAATTCCAGGTCAGTATCCAACTAGCTCATCCTATCCAGGACTCTTGTTCAGAAACCCTACACAACCAAGAGGGGGATGTTTTAGAAATGGGTCAGATGATCAAGTTCCTGACCAGACTAAAGGCCTGAAACAGGCTCATAAGTAAAAAAAAAAAAAAAAAAAAAAAAAAAGATCAGGGTTCTGCTCTGCCTGGCTGGGCACTGCCAGACTCGAGTTTCTATAAACCATTATCAGCCCCTCATTTTCCCCTCATTGTACCCGTGAGTCTAATGGCATTTCTTTATCTGAAGGAATCAGCTTAGTTCTGGGTTCTGCAGGTAGAAGCCCTGAGTGGCTTTTATCACTGACAAGGATAAAATGGCTCCTGAGTCAGCAATTTTAAGGAACTTCTCTGAGAGGCAGAGGAGCTAATGCTAGGACACTGAATGGCACTCAGGCAGAAGATATCCAGCTGACCAGTGTATGGCTTACCATTCTTTCAAAACCAAAACATGCGAAATGGGAAATGTTCTTAATTTGCTGTTGGAAGATCTAAGCTCTGCCATTTACTGGCTATGTGCCCCTGGGAACGTTGCCTTACCTCCCCTGGTTTAGTTTCTCGTCTGCAGACTGAGATAGTGCCACCCATCTACTTCACAGAGGAGGGGTGAGGATCCGTGAAACATGGATGAGTCACAGACTCCCCTTCTTTCCTTCTCCTCTAGCCACCCTCACTTATACCTCTCCTCTTTTCTTCCTGTTCCTGTTATTCCTTCCTCCTGGTTTAAACCACGAGCTCACCAATGCTCAATTTAAGGCGGGTCCATGACTCCCATGGACACTGCTGAGCTGGCTGTGATACTTAAGGTTAAAGAACTTGGTGGCTCCGATGCTAAAAGTTTCTTTAATATTAGTTTCTGTCTCTGCCTGTGTTCCTGATTCATAACACCACCCAAGTTAACTCTTTATTTAACAGAAGGATGTTTTGCCCTCTGATCATGGATACTGTGTACTCCTTCCCAGCTGAAAAGTCCCTGGTCACCAAAGAAAGGGCACTTGATAAACACCAGCAGTGACCTCACTTCTGGCATGTCAAGTTCCGGAACAGGCTGGTCTGAGGAAGCCTAAGGAAGTGCACAGTTCAGCCAAGTTCTCAAGATACCGCCGGCTTCCTACTTCACCAGTCAGATTTGACAGTACAGATGCTACCAGCAGGCTTATGACAAAGATGTAAGCCCAGGGGAGTAGCAGTTTTCAGTGAGCTCTCTGAATCACAACTTAAGTTCCATGAAAACTGACACAGTCACCTTGAGACAGAGACAAAGGGTGAATCCAATTAACACCTGCAAACCCAGGGGAGGGGCAGGCTGGGCATCCTTCACCTGAGTCACAGGAGGGGGCTATGAATGAGTGGGGGAGGGGATCAAGGTCCCTGAAGGAGAAATAACGAAATCAGGTAGGGAAACTGAAACTCTACTGAAACTACCAGGGCTGCCCAGTGATGGAACGAGTGGTCTCAGGAGTGACTGCTGCGTTGGCAGGAATTTTCAAAGGACAGATGGCTCCTCACTTATCAGGAGTGTTAGAGAAAATGTTCAAGCACTGGGGTTTGGACCGAGGTGCTCTACAGCCCCTTCTGACCCTGAGATCCAGTGGGCTGTCAAGAGAAGGCTGTGAAGTAAAAGGTGTGTGTGTGGGCTTAAGGGATGCGGTGCTGCGTCTCCCAGGGTCTCAGATGCCCCAGCGGCTTCACAGCTCAGCAACATAGGATGACAAGGGCAGGGAAGTGGGAACCACCATGGGCCAAGCCAGGCAGGAGGACCCTGTGCCACTGTCAGGCATTTCAAAACGGTTTTTCTCTGCTAAACTCCAACTGGGAAATAGAAATGTTTAAAAGGGAATATGTCAAAATGAATAAATAAAAAGTGGGAGGTCATAAATGACATACAGGCCTTCTCCCCTCTCTAAATCATGTCAATTTTTCCTACAGGTGGCAGGATGGCTCAGCTAAAAAAAAAAAAATCATGTCAATTTTTTTTTTTTTGAGGAAAAAACCAACACCAAAGACAGTCCAATTTAAAGACAACTAAAAGTCTATATTGTAATCTGAATAAATGCTGGGAAAAAGTATCTCCTATCCCAACACAAAAATGTGGGGGATGTTACTGGATAGAATTAGCTGTAATAATCACATCAGGTTTAAAAGGGAAAAGAAACCCACTGCCAGTGAGAGGGGTGATAGAAAGGAAGCGGATGGAGTGAAATTCCACTATAACCATCATGGAGCCACTGAAAAGCTAATAGAAATATGTCTTCCTAGAAAACACGTGCACACGCAAGGTTCTGCGTAATTGCAGAATCACCGACCTTTAACACCCATGCGTAAGCCCAGGTGAAGACTGCCTGCCAACAAACTACCTGCTGAAAACAAAACCTCTCTTCTCTTTTTGGGGAATTATGACTTATTTTTCCATATGCTGCTCCTCTTTAAGTGCAGTTTTTTGAAGAATGAAAGCTAAACTGAAATGATCTGAATCTCATTTTGAGCTTAGGACCATCACAGTCAAGAGGGGGTTCCTACCAGCCCACTGAGGGAGACGTTAGAAATGAGGACTTCATATAGAAATTGTCAAGACAGCCTCTAGAACCAAAATGATGTTGCAAAAGAGACAGTTCCTCATGCATTTTCCAGAAGCAGTAATTCTAACAAAGGTGTTAAGTACAGCAAACGGGTTGGGGCCCGTACAGGGCTTGTTTGTTCCAAGTGAATGATAAAATGGTTGTCTTGATGACGATTTGACAATTAACTGCTTAGCCTTAGACGGTCTGCTGACTCAGACCAAATGTCCCAAATTCAATTTTCCCCAAATGTGGCCAAACTACATTCATTCATATTTTTCAAACATTCAGCTAACATTTATTGGAGCCTGCTACATGTCAAGTACTGTCGTAGGTGCTGGGACAGCCAGTAAATGAAACAAAACTCACCACCCAACTTATGTCCTTGTGGAAGCAGAGAAAATGCAACCTGTGCAAACACACACACACACAAGGGCAGAGGCGAGAAGAGCAAAGGAGAATGAGAAGCAGGGTCCCGGGCATTGGGGGTGGTGGAGGAAGGCAGGCTTCATTCATATGGTGATCTCGGAGCAGAGACCTGGAGCAAGTCAGGAAGGGAGCCTGAGGGCACCTGGAGGGACAGTGCCCCAGGTGGAGCAGGAAAGGGCCTGAAACAAAAGGGTGCTTGGTGTGTTCACAGAAGTGCACAGAAGCCCGTGCTGAGCAATGGGGAGGACCACAGCAATCGTGGGAACTGCTGTTCCAGCGGAGCAGATGGGCAGAAACCAGATTTGAGCGTTTTTTGCTGTGGTTTTGTTTTGCTTTGATTTTGACAACAGGAGAAGGCGAGTGTCTACAGATTGATGAGGATGCTTCTGTAGAGGAGAGTTCGTTGAGCGGGTGGGGGGTGACTGCTGGAGTTCTCCCCCAAGTTGCAATGGCGTGGGGTCTTGCGCACAACTGACAACACTGGCCAGAGAGAGGAGTACAGTGGCTCATCCACAGTGGGGACAGACATGGCTACAGGGAGGGCAGATGGCAGGTGGGGATCTGGAGTTTACTTCCAAGTGCTTCAGTTCATTTAGTGACACAGGGTGCTGAGGGTGGGGAAGTTGGGGCTAGAGGTTTAATGGCTCTGAGCTGTGTAGTGAGGGACATGAAGACGGGAGGTAGGTGGGGAGAGTGGCAAGATGGCAAGATCAACTGCTTGTACATCCTGGTGGGGTCAGAGCTGCTGGAGTTGGGAGCAGAGGGAGTGTGCTGGAAAGACCACGGGGAGTAGAAGAGAGGGGAACAAAAGCCACACTTTTGGTAAGAAAGCTATGGTTCTGTAGCAAGGGGCTGCAACATAAGTGTCCTTCATCACTCAGGATAGCTGCTGCCCCTGGACCTGGGCCATCATGCAAATCATCTGAAGTCCTGACAGGCTTTGACTTTCATCTTCCTGAGGCCACAGTACAATATGGTTAGGGCTCAGGCTCCAGGAACAGGCAGTCCTGAGAATTCCAGTTGTAACATTTAGTAGAAGCAGAGCCTTTGGCAAATTACTTCACCTCTCTAACCATCGGTGTCATGAACTCTAAAACATAAATCAGCATCAATCCCAGGATGGAGACAAAGAGTAAATGAGGTAATTTTCTGCTTGGTACAATGCCTGACACATAAATGATCTAGAAATCACAGCATGAACATTGTCATCATCTCTGCACCACATCAGGCAGAGATAAAGCAACCAGACGCCCCCATGGAAAGCACAAGAGCCCAAGGCCAGGACAGAGAAGAGAACAGCGCTTCCTTCTAACTGCTCAGCTCTAGCTCGTCCCATTCCTTCCACTCCCATCTCTGAAAATGCCCACTTTCTCAGCCTGACAACTGCTGAGGGGAGTTACTGATTAGCTTCTGGGCCTCTCAGGTTTTGCTGAGCTCCTGGATCTTTGTTCCTTACTGGAATCCTTCAAGTCCCTCTAAGGCAGTGGTTCTCAACTGGGGGCACTTTTGCACTCCCCTGGGGACACTAGACAATGTCCGGATACATTTTATCACATTCAGTGGGGGTGGGGGTAGGTCTGTTACTGGCATCTAGTGGGCAGAGTCTGGGATGTTGCTAAGCATGTTACAATGCACAGGCCAGCCCCCCACCACCAAGAATGATCTAGTTCAAAATATGCATAGTGCCGAGGTTGAGAAATCCTGCTCTACGGTTTTGTGCAGTCTGTAGGAGAAGACTCACACCAGAATAAGCCCTTTTATCGAACACTAAAGAAAAGGAATTTCTCTAATGTTACCCCCTGCCTTAAAAGAGCCAAAATCTAACAGATTTGTTTTGCAAAATATTTTTCTATGACGTGGTAGCATACCTGCTGCCACGGGGTACCCTTAATTCTCTGCCTCTAATCTGGGGTGTTATTGAGTGACCTGTAACAAAACTTGTAGGAACCTAGTACGAGCAAGCAGCTCTATGTGCTAGTCTGAGGGACTCTCACTATAAGAGTTGACACTTCAATTTGTAGCATTTATTTGGGTTCTTCGGAAATCGTTTTTGCTTCCTTCAGCTCCCAGGTAAATAAAGCATCACCATACACTATCCAATAATTATTTAAAGTAACTCATTGTATCTTCATCTCAGAAAGTGACCTTGAAGAGAGTAGGATGCTGACTTTTCAACTCTCTCTTCAGTACGTATGTAAAAGCACCTAGCTTTCAGGCTTATCTCTTTGCTCCTTGGAGAAGATGAAAATCCTTAACTTTTACTTGTTAGGAGAAAGTAGCCTTTAACACTTGGCTAGTAAAAATAAACTTGATTTGGAGGGAGTGGGGCTAGGGGGCGGGGAGTGGGGGGGGGGCAATGGTGCAAAACTTAGTCACTTGAGAAGCTTCTCATATGGGATCCACCATTATAAATGAATGACTAATGCTGCACTTACAAGTTCTTAGGCTTGTTATATTTTGTAGTAGATTTTCCTGACTCCACCCTCATTGTTGGGCTGTTGGCTTTCGCTTCCCACTCGCATCAGGGTACCTACCCTTTTATTTGCTGTTTCTAATGGGCTGCTAGGCCCTTCATTGGCATAAAATACACACGCTTACTGCTTTCTCCTTCAGGTGCCCAAGGGCCTTTGGTATCAAGCTCTGGTGGTGCTCGGGGTGGCTTAGGTTGTGGGAGATGAGCATCTCAGACCAACAGGGAGCATGTGGCCTCTTTATTCCAAAAGGCCTCAAGGAGGTGCAGAGTTAGAAATGCAACACAGGGAAAAGGGCCAGTGGTGACTGTCTGTGGGAAAGGAGGAGGAGCTACTCATCTCAAGGTTCTGTCCTCTTGACTCACCTTCACTTCTCACACACAGTGCTGGGCATGCTGGGGGGTGGGGCGAGGAGGGGTGGGGGTCTTAAGGCAAGGTCAAAGCCACACCCGATCCAAGTGAATCTGAGGATCTGGAAACTGTGATGACTACTGGCTATCAGTTAGCATTCCAATTAGCTGAGCAATTGTAAGCTAACTAATTAGCAGGTGGAATTTCACTGGAGATTGGTCTACTTAACTTTTGCTTCCTTCCTTCCAGAGGTTTTTCAGGATCTCCCTAACCTGCCTAAGGGATAAATCTCATGTTGTCTTGCCTAGGTCATGCATTTTCTAAAGACACTCACATTTCAATCCAACATTCCATCTCCAGAGTAGTGGTCCCTATTTCCTATCAGAGGTCACCACCATTCAATAAGCATGTGTTCACGCTTATCTTAGAGCTGCAGACACCGAGGAAAGGAGGGATAAGCCGTTGTTTACGTCCCTCGATAGGGTAAGCACATTTGGGGAGGAAGGTTCAGAGGGAGGTTCATGTTCAGTATGAGTGTTTGGAATGGACCACCTTTGAGGTTCTTTCCTCTTCTGAGGTCCTAGGATGCTATAGTCCTAGGGAAGGCTTCTGGCAGGAATGAAAACAGCAGAGCACCAGCTCACGTCCGCTGAATCCTAAGAGTCTCTTGGGAAAAGTGGCCACATTGTGTATTCTCTCCTCTCCATGCAGGTTTAGTGCCGTGCCCTGATTTGAGAACTGGTAAACACTGTTGGTTGGTTGGGAGAATAATGAGTGCGATCCATTCAGCAAGGAGAAGCTAGTGCAGGAGCCCGCAGTACTAGCAGAGTGGTCCCTGCAGCTGTAATCCTGGTTCCCGTGGCATCATACCTTTGGCTAGCTGCCAGCACATCCCCAGGCCCCATCTGGGTTGGACACGTACCTAAAAGCGCAGCTGCCTGGCTCCGTCCTCCAAAGCTGCGGCTGAAGGAGCTGTGCCTGCTTGCATAGGAGGCTGGCCGACTGGGCAGCCAGGGCAGGAGGAAGGCAGGAATCTCAGAGTGCAAGAGCTCTTCGGCCACAAAGGCCACCTCGAACCACTTGCGCTGGAAGCTGGCGAAGTCATCCACCGCTGTTGTGTGCCAGGTGGTGGGCTGCTGCATGGCCACTGGGAAAAGCAGAGGGGAGAGAAAGCACCTTCAGCACAAATACATATTTTCTTACTGACGCATGCTACAACATGGCTGAACTTTGAAAACATTAGTCTAACTAAAAGAAGCCAGACACAAAAGGCCACATACTTTATGATGCCACTTAAACGAAATGTCCAAAACAGGCCAATCTTTAGAGACAGAAGGCAGGTTGGTGGTGGCCAGGGATTGGGGGAGGAGGAGTTTGGGGGTGACTGCTAATGGGTACGGGGTTTCCTATCAGGCTGATGGAAATGGACTGGAAATAGATAGAAGTGGTGGTTGCACAATTCTGTGAATGTCCCTGAATTGTTCACTTTAAAATGGTTAATGTTACGTTATATGAACTTTACTTCAATCTAAAAAAATATTTTATACTTGGTTTCAGATTTTTCACTTCACAGCATGTAACAGTAACTGGAATTTCTTCAACTTCAAGGTAAAATAGTATGTCCTGGTCAAACTCAGAGTTTAAGGGAAGAGGTAGCAATGGACACACTACTGGCCAAGGAAAAAACCCATGCAGATCCACTTCTGATACATCCTCAGATGAGAACACAGGTGGCACTAGTTGCTTCATCTGATATATGATTCCTGAAACTCAGAGTCTGAGAAGCCATTTGTCTGCAGGCTGAGAGTCATCCAGCCAAGGCCCTGTGTGCTCTGGGTAGACTGAAGATGCTGGTCTGAATCCCGGGGGTTTCCCATGCTATGCAAGCCAGCTCCGACCATGCTGGAAATTGCTCCCCTCTTGGGGATTCCTTTTTCTCATTTAAAAAACCCAAAAAACTAGGGGCCGGCCGAGTGGCTCAGTTGGTGAAGAGCTCGCTCAAGAGTTTGAGCTCTGAGCAATAACGGTTCAATGCCCGGCCCGAGCTGAGCTGCCACTGAGCTGCCAAAAGGTGGCAGGATGGCTCAGCTAAAAAAAAAAAAACAAAAAACAAAAACCAAAACACAACAACAACAAAAAACAAAACACAAAAACCTTAATATATATCTTGGAAAACTTGCAAGGACTTGATAGTCTTCCTGGGGAAAGAAATGGAGTTTGCAGGCCTAGTGAGTAAAAAGTGCTAAAAGTTATAGATTAGAGCCCGTCATGTCAGACTCAGAACCACCTGCACTGGGTGGGGGGTACTACAGTTAAAAAGAGCTACCAAGGGCCGGCCAAGTGGTGCGATGGTTAAGAACTGGCTTGGGACGCCAGAGGGCCCCGGTTCGGATCCCACATATGAGGGCCAGTGACACTGCCCTTCACAGCTAAGATGCTGAACAACAGCTCAACCTGGAGCTGGGCTGCTGTGA